GAGGTGACATTTCCAAATATGCTATATTTGGAATACTGATACTCTTTAGGAATTACATAATATTTCACCTCTGTTCTGTGGAAAATGTTACTTAAATCACAGTTGTTATAAAGATTAAATGAACTGAAGAAGAGAAATTCATTCTTAAGAGTAAAACAAGGTGTCTGAGGCATTCATGTTCAGAAAACAGTAGCTGTGATCATTCTAACTACCACCATTATCTTTTTTTAAATTTTTTTTAAAGATGTGGAGTACAATTCAGAGTTAGGTGTACAAACATTGATTATGCAGGTACCCTCTTTGATGAGGTGAGCCCCTCCCTCATGAGGTTTCCCTCAACTGCCAATCCCACCCCCCAGCAGTTTCCCACTACTGCCAATCCCTTTCTTATAGGATTATGCTCATTGTTCAAAGTCCGCTTATGAGTGAGAACATACGGTACTCTGTTTTTTGTTTCTGTGATAGATCACTGAGTATGATCTACTCTAAATTCATCCAAGTTGCTGCAAAGTCCATATGTTTGTCTTTCTTTATGGCTGCATAATATTCCATTGTGTATATGTACCACTTTTTTTTTAATCCAGTCAAGCTTCAATGGGCAGTATGGTTGGTTTCATGTTTTTGTTATTGTGAATAGAGCTGTGATACACATACGTGTGCAGGAATCTTTTTTGTAGAATGATTTGAGTTTCTCCGGGTATATTCCCAATAGGGGGATTTCTGGGTCATATGGAAGGTCAATTTCTAGTTCTTTCAGAAATTGCCACACTGTCTCCCAAAGAGGTTGCACTAGTTTGCATTCCCACCAGCAGCAGAGAAGCTTTCCTTTTTCTCCGCATCTTCGCCAGCATCTGTTGTTCTTTGGTTTATTAATGATGGCCATTCTTACTGGGGTTAGGTAGTATCTCAGTGTGGCTTTGATTTGCATTTCTCTGATGATTAGTGAGGTTGAGCACTTTTTCATGTGTCTGTTGGCTGCCTGTATATCCTCTTTTGAGAAATGTGTATTCATGTACTTTGCCCACTTATTAATGGGGCTGTTTGTTATTTTCCTTTTGGCACATTTGAGTTCCTTGTAGATCCTAGATTTTAGGCCTTTATCAGATATACAGTTGGCAAATATTGTTTCCCATTCTGTGGGCTGTCTCCCTGCTCTCTTGATGGTTTCTTTTGCTTTGCAGAGAAGTTTGTCAGTTTGATGAGGTCTCATTTGTTTATCTTATTTTTTATGGTATTGGCACTTAGGGTTCTGATCAGGAATTGATCGCCAGTTCCAATTTCCATAAGGGTGTCTCCTGCATTTTCTAAGATTCTTATAGTTTGAGGTTTTACATTTAAGTCTTTGATCAATTTAGAGTTAATTTTTGTGTATGGTGATAGGTAGGGGTCCTGTTTCAATATTCTGCATGTGTTCAGTCAGTTTTCCCAGCACCATTTACTGAATAGGTTCTCTCCCCAGTGGTTGTTCTTGGAGGCTTTGTCAAAGATGAGTTGGTTAAGAAATTGAGACAAGGAGAAAGTGTGTATATTAGCTGTTTTGATTACTAACTACCACCATTATCATCTTCAGTCTTCACTTTACGACAGCCCACAATGCAGATACTATTATTACTTCAATTTTCAAATAAGCAAATTGAAGGTTAGAAAAATAAAGCAACAGGTCCAAAGAACACAGTCACCAAGGCATAAAGTGAACTGGCCTAATTCCAAGGCATCAGTCTCTTCTCCTCCTCCCTGGAGACAGGAGCTCACTTTGCAGAAAGCAAGGCTGAGCAAAGCCACTTGCCCAAGGAGATGCAGGTGTCAGCTGTAGGGCAGAGATGGACACAATGTCTCTGATACCCAACCCACTGCTCTGCCCTTTACCCCACAGACTCTCTAGAGAGGCTGGGGTTTCACTCCCTATTCCCTAATCATTAGGGAAAGTCAAGGACCATGTAACTATTTCAGTAAGGAAAAAAAAGCTCTACTTATAAAATATGACTCTTACAAACTTAAAAATCACTCATTACAAAACCAAGATAACATTTAACACAAGAGTTATCTATAAAGATTCAAGGCTGATGCAATCTGTAGTTTAGAGCTCAAACTTCAAACTGCAGGCTTTCATGTTAAGTATTTGGTAACAATCTATTATTGTAGGAATATCAGGAAAAAGCAGGAACAACACACACATGTGTGTGCATGTACAGACATAGACACACACACGCGTGCGCACACACACACACACACACACACAGGCTTTAAAGACAGACTTGGGTTCAACTTCTGGCTCTCTCATTTACTAAATGTGAGACCTTTTGCCATGCCACTTACCATTTCATTATTGATAAAATTCCATAATTTGAGAGGGAAGTAAAATAAAAATGTAATGCTCAGTTGCTAAAGACATTCAACAAATGACTATTGCTTTTCATCACTAAATGCTGCTTACTAAATGTCTTCTGCTCCTAACAAATACACCGTACCCTCTGAGAGCTGGGAGAGTACGTTGATCAAGTTTCCATATGGAGATCTCAATTTAATCTGCGTGTTGTCAGAGTGACCAGGGTAAAAGCCTTCTCTGGGTCTTCCCTGGAATGTAGAGATCAGGGAACCCAGAGAAGGAATTCTTCCCGAGACAAAGCAAGAAGAGCAGAGCCTGGAAGTATGGCAAAGGTTTGACTTGAAAAGTGCAACTGCAGTCTTGCTGAGATATTCTTATATCGGCAAAAAGGTAGGGTGGCCAAAATGAAGATGGTTTATCATAGAGCCCAGGAAAATGAAAATGTTATAGAAAGACTTATGATCAAAGTTTATATACACACAAGGAACCTTCAGTGATAGCCACAGAGATAACAGATTATAGGATCAGACTTTCCAAAGACACAGAAGAAAAAATAATTATGGTTCATGTTTGAAGAAATAAAAGAGACAGATAAATATGAAGAAGGGAAAGGGCTATAACATCATCAAGCTGATTTTTTTTTTAAGCAGTGGATCTAAAACCAGAAGATATGCTTATTGAAATTTTTAAAAAACCTATATGGCTGAATTAAACATCAGGATTAGACACAGCTAATAGTAGATTCAAAGAGTTGAAAGAGAGATCAAAAGAAATTGTGCAAACAGAGAACAGAGAGACAAAGAAATAGAAAATATAGAAGACAGATTAAGAGACATATAGGATAGACTGAAAAGTAAAGCATGTATCTAATTGTCTTAGTTCCAAAAAGGCATAATAAAAAAAGACATGGAGGAAATAATCAAAGAAAAATATCCAGAATTGATGAAAGACACTAATATCAGATACAGGAATTCCAATGAATATTGAACAGAATTAATTATTTATAATAATCCACATCAAAATACATAGTAGTAAAATTACAGAACAAGAATTGCAAAGATCTTAAAAGCAGCCAGAGAAAAATGGCAAATTACCTTCAAAAATAAAGCAATAAATACTCATTTTTAATGACAACAATGGAAACCAACAGCTAGAGGAGTTCTTTTATTTGTTGCAAGAAAATAACTATCAACCAAGAAATAAATATTTAGCAAAACTATTTTTTTACTATTACGAAGGGGGAAGAAAAGACATTTTCAGATGAATAGAAACCAAGAGAGTTTACCACAAATAGACTCTCCACTAAGGAAAAGTCTAATGAGTTATGACAGGAAAGTAAAAAATAATTCCAGATAGAGGGATATGAATCCAAAAATCCCGATGAGCACAGATGTTGAAAGTATGTAAGTAAATATAAATAATTTATAGAACAATAATAATAAATGTTTTATTTGATAACTTTACTAATAAGAAGTAAAATTAAAACATTAGACAATAGTAAGGTATCAATTTTTAAAGTGTAATGATATTTGAGTTCTAGTCTTTATATGTTAATTGGAAGGAGGATAAAGCTATTGTTTAAACATTATGAGGATGCTTGTTAAATTACTCCAGGGTAATCAAAACTAATCATAGAGAGTATAAGTTCCAAAGTGGCAGATAGAAAAAAATTTTTGTCTTAAATAATTCAAAAAAAGAAAAGAAGTAAAATTGGTGCAACTAGAAAATATAAAAAGTAGAAGATAAATCATTCCAAATATATTAATAATTGTAAAATATAAACAAATCACAATCTCCAGTTACATAACAAAACTACTAGCAGATTTTTTAAAAATAAAACAAAGCAAAAATAACTCTATATTGTTTGTAAGAGAAACATCTAAAACATAAAGTCAAGACACAGGAAGATTAAAACAAAAAGATGAAGAAAAATCCCAGGTGCATACTAACCAAAAGAACCTCTGATTTAGTCCTATTATTATTAGACAAATTAGCATTAAAGCAAAATATACTACTAGGGATTTATGATGACAAAAATTCCATTAAACTTAAATGTTCTTTGTATGTATAATTTTCATAGCCTCAGATACAGGTAATGCAAAAATTAACAAAAATTTACATATCCACCATTGTAGTAAGAGATTTTTAACTTATCTTTCTCAATAACTAATATGTCAAGCAGATTTAAAAATTTAATGATTTAATTTAATATGCTACAAATTTAAGGACCTCATCCTACAAAATTAAGGATCTGATAGCAGCCTGGGTAGGAGGTAAGACCTCAGAATGCAAGGATTGCCAGGAATACCAGGAAGGCTAGGCACCAGGGCTCCCTGGGGCAGTAAAGATCCCAAAGGAGAAAGTGTGTATATTAGCAGAGTCCTGTCCTTCGCTTCCAGGCTTCCTGTAAGCATCTCCAGTTCTTATGTGACTCAACAGCATCCTTCAACCTTATACTAACTCCAGTTGAGTTTTCTGTCAGTTCCCAAGGTAGGGGAACCTAGAGTCAGAGCTAACTGGATTTGAAGAAAGAAAGTCACGTGACATTTGTGCACACCCAATCTGTAGCTTAGCCTTCCTACCTACCACACATGCGCAGGATGTTCAGATAAGAAATGGGAAACAGAGATGCACAGGTAAAATACTGGCAGAAGTCAGCAAGTCTCTGCCCTACCTCTCCTCCAGGTCTGGCCACCGCTTGAAGTTGCCTTGGAGGTCACTGCGGGTTTCTCCCTTCTGGACTTCCACAACTGGCTTCTGCCCAGCCCTGAGAGATTCCTTCAGATCCCTGCGCAGGTGGAGGGTGCCACTGACCATGCCATCCAGGAAACTGAGGATCTGTAGGCAGCTTTGTATCTGGGATGGAAGTAAGCTGCTAGGGGAAAAGGCAGCACTCAAAAAATCAGCAAATGACCTGGTCTTTGTGTCAGCCCAGGAGTGCAGAGGGGTGTCCTCTTCCTCTGGGACCCCAAAACAGCCCAGCAAGCAGAGGTCCTCAGTCAGTTTCTCAAAGAGCCTGTTCCTTCTGAAGAAGTCACTGTTGACAGGGTCCTGGTGCAGCGCCGCAGACACAGCACAGAGAGTATGCAGCACAAGCTCCAGCGTCTGGTCGGCAGACACTGTCCCCCACGCTTGTAGTGGGGGCTCATGGAGGGAGCCTTCCAGGTCAGAAATCAGGGACAGCAGCCCATTGAACCCACTGGAGACTCTGAAAGCAGCACGACCCTTGGGGGTCTCCAGGATCCGGAGCAGAGACTGAAACACCAAGCAGAGAAAAGTGAGAAGATTCCAGGAGATAGATTAACACTGAGCTCACACATCTCTTCTAAAGCATACCATGAGCTCTTTCCTGCTCAACACTGACAGACTAACAAACTATGTGAATGACAATTCTGAAACATTGGGATGTCCAAATGGTTCCTCTTATTTTTTAATTTAGGTTGTCTGTAAGTACCTTCTATGCCAATTTATACGGTTAATTTAACTACCCTGTATCTTGGCTTAAATGCACCTCTGTCCAGAAAGCTTCCCCTGACCTCTTGCTCATATTCGACCCCAGGGCGAGTGCCCCATAACCCCCTCTCATTCCCCAATCAAAACTCTCATCACAGTCTGCAGCAGTTACTTGAAAATTGTCTCAGCTCTCTACCAGACTGAAGCTCCACAAGATCAGGAACCATATCTGGCTTATTCACTGCTGTGAAACATGGTATGCACTTAATAAGAACTTGGTGCATGAGTAGAATAAACTATCTCTGATACTGTACAAAAGACCCACAGTGAAATCCTTATGAAAGCAGTTTATTATTTTTCTTTTCCTTCTCAGTGAAAGCATGGGTTCCCCTAATAAATGAAGAGAAATTTTTAAAAACTACTGAAAATGTGGTGTGAAAAGATGAGGGCTTCAGAGAAGCGAAGAAAAACCTTCAATGGAATGAAATACATAGGTATAACACATAGTGTGCTCACGTGTGCAGAAAGCAGCTAGGCCACTCACAGCATCCATAGTAGAATCCCCCGCCCTCCAGATCATTGAGTTTTCTACTGATCAGCCAAAGTTTGATTTCCTTCTAAAAACAAATTTTTCTTGCGCATTTACAACATGTCACTCATTGAGCCCAGTGCATGGTATACACTAGGTATTCAATACATATTGCTGGAAGGGAGAAAGGAGAGAGGGAGGGAGGGTTATAATTAAGCAGTTTTCATTCTCTGCTAAAGCTACACCTAAAAGTGAAGAATGCATGGACTATTTTAAATAAATATTAAAAGCCAAGCATTTTTTGGTTTTTATTTATTGATTGATGGCATAAAATGCTCATCTAAAACTCATGGCATTTTATGCATTTTTTTCTAGAGAGTGGATAGTCTTCATGGACTTATTAGTAGACTCTAGAGGGAGGTGGGAATTGTTTTCTCTTTCAGACATTTTATGCACTAGTGAGAAAGAAAAGTGGATTGTTTGAGCAGGCACAGATTTGAGTCAGTTCCAGGATGCTTGAGACAAGGTTCAAAGAGAAAAAAGTAAAAGAGAAATTCCCAACTTGGGGGGAGGGGTGTTGCTGTGACTTAAATGCGTGATTTAGAGTAATAATCTATAGCATGACACATGAAAGTTAGTGGACAAAGAGAACATCAGTAGCTCAGAAAACAAAAAGAGAGAAAGGACTAGATTTTTAAAACTCTCCTATATACAGAAAGTCAAATAGAAACTTGGTAAAGTTATAGTTCACTATTAAGTATAAAGTCATGCACTTTAGGAGAGAAAGATTGTTTTCCAGCTCCATCTCTAAAACACTGGTACTCTAACACTAAAATTTACCTGAAATAATGTAATGTATGTTTATACTATTCAAGTTTTGTTCCCTACTATTTTATTCCACTGTAAGAAACCTGAACTGCTTAGCAAGTTGTCAATCCCACATTTTGGGCAGGAGAAGTGACACACACTGGTAAGGATTCTTTCAAAGATAAAGAGAAGCAGTGACTCAGGAAGTGCTTAAAGGGTTCCCACAGCCCCATCTGTGTTGTTTAAAGAAATTTAAAAAGCAAAACAGATTGTAGTAACTAGGAGAATCTATGAAAGGTCAAAGTTCACAATTATGTCCAAAATGAACAAATAAAATGAGATAGAAAAATTTGTCCTTACCAATACAGGTCAATTGATTCTTTCCTGGCTATAGAAAAATAAAGTGTATGACGTATGATGGTTAGATCAATGATAACCCACAATGGCACAGAGGGACAACCGTGGAAATTGAGTTGTCATTTTGCTCTTTGAGAGAAACTTAGCATCAGAGCCACCCACTAATGGGGGGTCACGTCAAAGTCATAGAATAGGCTTCAGGGAAATGGACTTTCCAGACTGCCAGAAAGAGGGATGCAAAAGTGAAATATTAAGAACCAGAAAATGATGATATCTTGCCTCCTAGGTGAGGATATGGCCTAACGCATTCTGAATTTGGCTCAGAACCCAGGAAAGACACACATTTGTAGACATGTCCTTAAAAAGACGCATATAGATTGTTACAGCAAATTATTCCAGAATGGTGAGGCTCAGTGGATGTGAAAGTTCATGGTGTAGATTTGGCATAGCCTTTCTCTGTGCTGACAGTCACCCTACTTAGTGTAAACCCACCCCCCATCCCAGGGACCCTGGGGCCAGAAGTAGCTAAGGCAGATACACTGCATCTGTGCCTGCCTTGTGTGAGTAACTCACTTCCAATAAAATATTATTTCTTCAACTGAGTTGGAAACTCACTCTAACCTTGAAGTATGTGTGGTAGTTTCAATCTCTTCCTTCCCATGGGTAATCCATACAAAAAACTGCACGTTGGTATGAAATACAGCATACATCTGAACCGGACTTTGCGTCTGGTCATATGACATTGCCATGAAAAATAAATAAATCACAAACACACTGTAAAATCTTAAGTTCTATGATGTTAAACAGTCTAAATTTATGTGGGTGCTTTCAGTGGCTCCTAAGATTACTAGAAGGTTTGTTAAAGGCAAATAGAATGAATGAAACTTTTTTGCTTATCATAGGACACATGACAAAACAGATACCAAAAAATGGAGAACGATAAAAAAAACTAATCAGATTTCAGACAATTGCCTGAGCCACTGGGCAGTCACTAAAATCCCTCTCTCCTCAAGAAACCGCCTTCTGATTCTCCAATTTGATGCCAGATATTGCTTAAAGGAATTCCATCATTCAAAGAGTGTGGAGAGAAGATACTTTAAAAAGAGAAGCAATCCAATAATCGTTCTCATTATGATCTGTGTCTCTCAGCAAGTCTGTCACCTGTAATTCCTGGATGGTTATTTTCTTTTCCTCCTGTTGGGAGGGGAGGAGGAAGGAATGGCTGTCCTTAATTGTTGCTTTGTTTGATTTATTAAATTCAGAGTCATTATCTAAAATGGGGGTAATCTCATTAGAACTTAGACTGCTCTATTATTTCTTGGGATGGGGTTAATTTCATATTTGCAGAGTCATAAAGTAAACAGTCTGAAATCCAATTACAAAGGCTTAATTTCATAGCAACTAAAGAGAAACGTTTCTATCATAAAGGAAAATAAATAATTCGCTACTTCAGGAAACGATTTATCAGAAACCAGGGGCCTAGGAGGCGGGTCTCCATTACTGTCATTCAACTTTGCATGATAATGCATCACACAGGGTTTCCAGTCTGCAAAAGGGAGTAAATTTAATCAGCTGAAGTCAAAGTAATCAGGCTAGGGTTGACACATTTCAAGAAAGGTCAGCGTTAAGCACATTTTCTCATTCTTAACTCAGTTACCATGTCATCGTCTCTGAGTTAGTATTCCTCTAGCTTGAATCTATAAAATAGATGTCTGCTGCAAAGCGCTAACTACATTAGGACTAACAGGATTTATTTCACATTCTATTATTTGTTATTCCTCATAATTTTCCATGTGTCATGCTGGAAGACTGGTGAGGTAATGCAATTAAGCTCAGAGTTGAACAGCTAAATGTATATTAGCAAATCAATCTGAATTTGTGCATAACCCAATCATAGTCCCGCTGGCCAAGGAGAGGAAATTCATTTGCTTACATTATTCTTTAACTCAGTTATCATTTGCCAGAATTAGGTGGTGAAGTCACATGTGCTTCAGTGTTGGTATGGAAGCACCACTGGACTTTGGAAATAACTGTCCTAAGTTGCTTCTCCAGAGCAGCTGGCAGATCTGTCTCAGGAAAGGGACACAGAGTGATGCCATGATGTGAGTGCACTTCAGAGACAGAGATGGCCAACCTTTATCAGGAAAGGGGCACTACCTACCCCCTGACCTTTCAGGTTCCCACACTTCAGCACGTACCCCTCACCCTACATCTGGCCCACTTTGTAGACAGCACCTGCAGGAAGATTCAGTTCTCAGCTTCTAAAAAGAGAGATCTAGCCAGAAAGAGCTCATTTTACATCTTTGTTTCCCAAGTTCCAAGAGCTCTCAAGATGATTTAGAAATAAATGTAGATCCCACATCAGATTCCAGCAAACTCACTACTTGCCCATGTGACTCAGTGGTGGGCAAGTCTGGAGGAGCCTCTTGGGCCCCACTCTTGCCTACTGCCCCTGGAGCAGCAGTGTATTAACTAACAGCCCTTGTCCCTGTAGAACAATGCCAGCTCCTGGGGCCTCTGACTGCCCAGCAGTGACTTGGCACCCTGGGGAGCAGAACACACATTGAGTGCAGTCTAAATAAGCTCACCAGTGTTCTTTCCTTACGTTCTCTCTTGATAGTGTGATTCTGAAATGATATTGAATCTGTAAAACACCATAATGACTTTACACTGCTAATTCTAGAAATTCAGTCCTATTACCCAAGGGCTGACACTCCTATAAGATGCCTCTGGGCTAGAGCGTAAACAAGATGAGCTTTCCATGAGTAAAGCTGAGTATTGTTTTCTATATTGGACACAAAAAATACTTTTTCTCTCCAAACAAAGTAAAAGCAAAACTTTCCATCTATGGATCTGTTTGGTTTTCAGTGTGAAAATGTCAGAAACAGTTATTCACCCAATAAAAAACCAAAGCCCTGACAGCTTATGAAATGCCTTCCCTGTTCCCATTAGAACATGTCAATCAAGCTGAACATGGACATATGAGAGAAAATGTATCAGACAGCATGGTGAAGTGTGAAGGTCATGTAGTTTTCAGTTGTTAGTCTTAGATTCAAACTCAACTTCACCATTTAGCAATTGTGCAATATTGACTGTGTCAATGATGCTCTCTGGATGTCTCTCTGCCTATAACTTAAAAAGATTGTACCACATGAATCTGAAGTTCTTCCCAGCTCCAAATTTTCAATTCGTGATATCTCTCTCCCTTTCCTTACTCTCTGCCTTACCTCACGTAAACATGGGATTTGTCTTTCAAAAGGCATTTAACTTTCCTTCTTTGTTTTATATAAATCACTTTCACTGATTTTTCATCCCTGTAATTAAAGCACTGTTTGGGTTCTTGTCATCTGTGAAACACATGATTATGATCATGATGTTACTTGAATGGGCCATGCATGACACTTGGCCACACTAGGCCATGTGATAACAGGAATAACTCATATCAATGTCTGATATGATGCGGCACTGCAGAGAAATAAAGTAGGTAAGGTGAATGGAACACCATTCTCTAAATGTTAAAAAGGTTTTGTACAGTAATAGTCATTTCTGAGTAAGTTAGGTTGATGAGTGGTCTTAATTTTGGGATTCAGAGCAAGTTCACATTTTTTAAAATTTACCAACAATCAAGTGTGACATGTTCATCAGCATGTGTTTTTATATGGGTCCGTGTTGCACATAGGTGTGAGAAGTTCCAAAGTCAATGCCCTAAGGAATGTTTGCATTTACTTGCTTTTCTCTCAAAAAGCATAAAACTTTAAAACAATGGATTTAAAAGGCATAAAAGACAGAAGAAATAAAAAGGAACAACAATAAAATTGTGGAAGTTGTGAGGTAAAAAGGATGTTAACAATGATACTTACTACATTTCTTTAACTATTTTAAGATAATTTGATGAATATTAAAAATATGGCAAAAACATGTAAGTCTCTGTTACCAAAATGTGAAAACCAGCCTCGCTTGTCCCTTTTTACTCACTGTACCCACGCCTTTGGCTGCCTTTTGCTTCTTTTTCCCAGTTCACTTGTCTTCTCCCCAGTGATCCTGCCTCAGTCAGATAAGGCAGTGTTGTTCTCTCCTACTTCTCTGTTTCTATTGCAGCCTGTGCTCAATGTGTAAACAGGGCATTTACCACAATGCAATGTAACTATCACTCACATGTTAATAATAAGTACCAATCTGAGAGCTCCCAGACAGACTGTATCTCATTTGGCTGTATGTCCCAAGCACTCTGCATCAGGTCTGGTAATTAGTAGATGCTCAATAAATCCTAGTCATGTCAACAAGGCAGCTGTGTGGCCACCACTGATTCAGGCACCACTTCCATAGCTTATGGTGTTGTGGGAACTAACTGTCTAGCCAGGGACTACATTTCCTGGCATCCTTGGCATCCAGGTGAGTCCTATCCAAAGTCCTGCCCAAATAAAACTGGACAGAAGTTAACACATGCAAGTTTTAGGCCTGAATGAGAATGCCTTGTGCAGTTCTTCATAGCGTCTCTTTACTTGTCTGAGACAGATGCCTAGGTGGCACCTGTGCTAAATGACAATCTGCAATCATTATGTATACATCAAAGAAATTTCCAATGTGTCAGGCTACTGATGACATGGGATGTATTTGTTATAGTACCTAACGCTATCTAACACAACATACAGCATAACTAATGTAGTGGCTAACTGAATGAACAAATGCATGAGCAAATGTGGATCACTTAGTGCATATCCACGGGAAAGCCAAATACACAGGGAGGATTTGGAATCACCTTCAGGAGATCCAACTTCAGCTGCAGCTCCCCTTGAGTGGACGAGCACAGTGCACCCACAATGATACTCATGTACTCCTCAGTGTTGATGGCTGAGAGCTGCTCCAAGATGCTGAGTGAGGCTTCCCGGTAGAACTCATCGTCCAGGAAGATCTTGATGAATGGCACCATTCCATAGTCTTTCAGGACAACTGGGGACCAGACAGGATGGAGCCAGAATGATGGGGGTCTTGGCACCTCAGTTTCAATCACAAGGAAAACTCTCTCTTACAGTTTTCAAGGTTTGTTTTGCTATGGTTTTGTGTTTCTCTTTTGCCTACTAGTAAGTTTTTTGGTTTGTTTTTTGCAATCCATGCCCATTATTTTAAAAAAGAAAAGGAAAGAGAAACTGTGGAGCTGAAAATTAAAAAGAAAAACTGGTGTTTTTTCTTTAGTAAAAATTTTATTTTAAGAAAATCTTTTGATTAATATTTCCCCATAAGAGACAAGTTCAAGATAGGAGGAATAGATTCAATACCATGTACATGTTGACTATGGGAAAAAAGGAAAAAAAAAACCTTATTTTTAGAAACCTAAGTAATACAAGCTTTAACTAGATCTACCTGTCCCTTGATTCTCCATAATTCCCTACTCAGGGCCAATGAAAATTTTCTCTCCCTTCTCTCTGCTGAAATTCTTAAAGAAAGCAAACAGGAATTGAAGTTAAGAACATATTTAAATTTCTAGGTAGTTTCTTGGGGATAAAATTAAAGAAGTTTAACTGGTAGTACATTTTTGTTTAAAAGTAGTCCAAAGCTTTCCAACCCCAGGATTACTATGTTGAGTAATCCATGTGGAACAAAAACTAGGAAGCAGCTGGATCCTTCAAATGTCTTGAAGTGAATCTGAGCAGACAGGGTTTCTCCAGTTATGATTTCCTCTTAGATGGAAATTATCTTGGAGGCCCATTTGAAAGTACAGTCTTGAGTTCTACCTTGACCAACTACTAATTAAATGTCTGGGAGTGAGTCTAGAAATATGCATTTAAACTGCACCTCCAGGTAATCTTTTGCAGAATAATGTTAATGACTCTCTCTCTGGTGTAATGAAATAACAATGTTTTACATTTGATATTAATCTGTGAAGGTCTCTGAAAAAGATGCCTAAATCACAAACCCACTGATATAACTTGTTGATGCATCTATTTATACATTCACGCACATATATTCTTTATGCACAGATTTGTTGAAAACCTGGAAATTACATGATTTTGGGAAGCTAAAAAAATTTTTTGAATGACTAGAACTGAAAATTCCATCATGTCTGGAAGCACATCAAAAGTGACTAGCTTTCGTTGTCTGTATTTTACCCTTTGAATCTAAATAGGAAAAAAAAGCACTATATTCAGTACAGTAGGATATTTTTTAAAATGAAAAGAAAGGAGAGGGCTCTGTGGTCTCATAAATTTAGAAAATTCTAGATTAAGCATAATCTTTTTACTCACCAACCTTATTTCACAACCTTAGAAGTAAAAAGTATCAACTGAGGTACACTATCCACCAACTTACTGATGAGGACTGAACATCAACCAACAAATGAGCATTAGCCACAGTATTAGTTAGTACTGGTTATTTCTTAAATATAACCTGTGAACAATGGTATAAACAAACAGGAAATAGTTCGTGTTTTACCAAACAGCGACAAAGCAAATTTGGTACCATCCTCACCCGCATTCCGAACCGAGCCTTTCAGAAGTGTGACCACAGTCCTCAGCATCACACAGGTGAGTTCTCGTTCTAGATCCTGAGTGCCAGGAGCACACTCTTTGTTTCCTGTCATATTGAAAAAGCAACAAGCAAATTTAAGTACACACTGTATGACCCAAAATCTCTGCATTCGTTTTCTACCCTCTTAAAAAGATATGAATACAACACTTCCATTATAAGGGAGTGTACATCCCAATTCAAAAGTTATCCTTCTGTTATTCCCTACAGTAGTGGTTCTCTAGCTTGAGCACATCAGAATCCCCTGCAGGGCTTGTTAAAATCCAGAGCCCTGTGATGGTGATGGGCCCTATCCCTAGAGCTTTTGGCTTAGTGGGTCTTAGACAGAGTCCTAGAATTTGCATTTCTGACATGATCCCAAGAAATGCTGATGGGTCTCGTCTGGGAACTATTCTTTGAGAAGCATTGCCCTAAATGATACACAGATCCCTGCCTTCTTGGTTTTTCTTTGGCCACTTTTATAGTTTACCATTCAAACCTGCCAGAACACCTGCAGAGAAGCTCAAGATTCTGGAGTAAATAGGTGACCCTGCTAGACACATGAGAGCAAAACCAGACCTCTTTGTTCACTGTTTTTCTCTGCAGTGCCAGAAAAAATGTCTGCCACAAGTCAGAACTCAATATACATTTGGGGAATGAATGAATGAATAAAAGTAGACTTTATTAACCAAGAGACAGAGTATCTAAGAAATAACAAAACATATTTAACAACTGAAAGCACAAAATAAGACAAAAATAAGTTAGCATACAAAAAATTCATACTCTCTAAGAAATGGTTATAGATCAGATTTGATTCAAAAGCAAATTTGATGTTAGGTTGCTGAAAAAATACACAACCAAAATAGCACAGAAGTGGGAAACTAGAAGACTGTGTGAAGACTTCTCAGTTAAACACCAAGGAAAGCAGGGGAGGCCATACATTAACTTCATTCATGATGATATTTAAGGGAAGAAGTTAACGAGCAGTGAAAAGCTCTTAAAATACTGTCTAAGGCCTGGTTCAGAGTTACACAAAGCAACTCTGGGGTGCATCCTCCACAGTCCTGATCCTATTTTCAAATACTCCCAGGGAGGAGGTGTGTCCTCCCTGGCTTCCTCCACCACCTCCTTGGGTGTCTATTCCAGTCTCTCATGCTGAAGCACTGAAATTCTAGGAATGAAGTGACTGATATTTCTTGAGGCCCTGCTATATGCTGGCAACAGCAGTGGGTCCTTTTCAGATCTTTCCTCATTTAAATTTCACAGCATTCCCCATGATGTAGATACCATTGCTCCCATTTAACAGAAGAGGAAACAGGCTTATAGAAGCAAGTTACTTGCTCAGTATCATTCAGTTTGTGAGTAATATGGCCAGGATTCCAGCCAGGGCTGTCTGACCCATGCTCTCTCCCCCTCAGAGAGGCCCAGGACACAGACAGACTAATGACCTTGGTTTAAGTATGAAGCAGAATTCCAAAGTAGCCAGAGGCTAGAGAGTACCCTGCCTCTCCCAGCCAGTGCAGTAGGAGAAGGAGAAGAGGAGAAAAGATAGGGACAGGCTAGAGGTCAGACTCTTGTGTCCCCACATCCCTCTTCCCGGCTGATTTCTTAGAGCAGCAAGTGGAGACAGATTTAGAAGACAAGGGGAGTTGGAGGTGGGGGTTGCAGACCACCACGTAGAGTGGCCCCCGCAGGATATGTGGTATGGGGCATGGTAAGTCAGTAAAAGAACCCAACCTCTGAGCCATTGTGCACCCTCCTAGGAACAGAAGGGACCTCAAATCCCTAGAGGGGCAGCAGAGGCTGCTGATCTTGAGACCTCAGAGTACAGGGGGCACAATAGGGGATAGAGAACATTGCCAGGGAGCCACAGCAGGGCACTGAGACTCAGAGAGGCATGATGGGCCAGCAAGACCCTTACCACCTCTCCCCCAGACCATGCAGTCAATAGCACAGAGTGAGCTAAGTGTCTGTATCCCAGGAGACCCTAGAAGCACCCCAGAACCCCAGGCCTCTCTGAGCTCCCATTCCTGAAAATCTGTTGAGCCCCTGCTGTCTTCTCACCTGCACACTCAGACGATGTCTAGGGCAGGAGAAATCAAAATGCTGAAATTTACAAGGCCTGAGCTAACCCCAGGTTTACCCATCCCCTCACTTCTTCATGGAGACTGGGAGGCTGCCTGCTTTATATGAAGCCATGTGTCCCAGGGGTACCTTTCTGGTGACACAGGCATGCTCACTTTCTCCGTTCCAATGATGGGTGGCTACGTTGGCACACAGATCAGGCCTGGGACTGACACTGACCCCAGCCCATTTGCCTGCCCCTCCTTATATGCCCAGGCAGCACCTGACTTCCTCATGATCTTGGCCTGCTTCCGCAGCTGTGCTAGCAGCAGGCCCAGGAGCCCTGAGTCCCGGAAGATGTCAGTGAAGAGCAGGTCACCACCAGCAATGCTGAGGATACTCCGCAGGGCCACAAGGGTGCAGGAAGTCTCCGAGCTCTCCTTGATCAGTTGCTGCACCTTCTGCAGAATCTCATGGGGCACGTAGTGCAGCTCGAACACGAGGGCCTCCAGCAGCTGGAAGAAGTGTGCCTGCACTGGGGCTGGCTTCAGGGGCACTATCTCCACAAACTGGGAGATGGGCTGCAGGGTCCACTCCAGCAGGAAGAAGTTTCGAGCATTCCAGGCCCACATGGTCCTAATGGCCGACAGGACTTGTATGCAGAGGACAGAGTTGCTGGCTTTTTGGAAAACATTCTGCAGGACCTGGAAGGCCTGAAGATTCTTAACGGTCACCCCTAAAGAGGAAAACAAGAATCATCCCACAAATCTACATCTATAAACAGACTATTTGTTTCTCCTGCCTATGTCTAGACATAGGTGTTTTCATTATCATTAGGGCATGCCATTTGAAGTTTCTATTTTCTAGCTCCTGTAGGTGCATGCAGAAAAGCCAGCCACCCAGGTTGTGAAGAAGGCTGGCACTGTGTCATCCAAGATGAACTGTTGCCACTCTGAACTGAGATGTGTCATGAGAGTCAAGTACATACATACCAGATTTCCACAAGCTAGAATGAAGAAGGCAAAACATCTCATTAGCTATTATTTGCATTGACCCCACACTGAGATGGTAATATTTTGGATATATTGAGTTAAATAAAATACATTATCAAAAATAATTTAACCTACTTCTTCTTATTTAAAATTAAAATTACATTTAAAATGATATAATGCACCTTGTATTCTATTTCCATTGGACAGTGCCAAGCTGGGAGAATTGGTTTCAATCTATTAAAATCAAATAATATTGGAAATTATTAAATAAAGTTGGTTTCATTTCTAGACAAGCTGTTAAATAAATACACCTCCCCAACCCACTGCCTTTTCTGCAGCTTGAAGATTAAGCTTCATTTGCCCTCACTGAGGAGACACTTTGTTGGAAAACTCCCTGACTCCAGGCTTCCCTGTCTTGGATACCAAAGATGTTTCTAAAATTCTCCCCTGATTCAGGCACTCCCTTAAACCACATCTGTGCCCCTGTGTGTCTGCTGGAGTCCTATCCAATGGTATAGGTCCCTGCAGCTGGTCCCTGCAGCTTTGTAGCTTCCCTGCCTCTGCTTTGCAGTTAGTCTTATTTCCCCCAGACTCACTCAGCTATCACAAACCACCATTTCTTCCCAGACTGTAATTTCTGCCTTTCAACTTCTCCCCCTTTATTGCAACCTCGACAACCCACATTTAACCATAAAAACTCCCTCCAGCAAGCCTTCTGGTCAGGGTTTCCTGACTGACCCACCTGTGTCATGACTGTGCCTGATGCATTTGTCAACCAGTTACCCAGCAGACCAGGATTCAGTGTACATGTGACAGTCCCTACAAAGGAATTTTGGGGAGCAGATACCTGGCCTGTTCACATTGGCACTCAGCATAAGACAGAGTGCCTGCCACACAGAAAGCATCAGTACATGCTGATTAAGTTCATCAATCAATCAATATCTCAAAGTACTGAGAAGTTACTGACTCTGAGCCTGAGTGGTGTTCAGGGCCAACAGTCCCCATTGTGAAGGAAAATGTCATAGAGCAAGTCACACTAGCAGTGAGGGACAGAATTAGAGGCATGCTCCTCCTTTATTTGAGAGCCATTGTTTTTATTAAGCAATGTTTCCTCTAACTCCCTAAAGAGACAAATTTCCTTGTTGTGCAAAGTTAAGGTTGCACATCAGGGACAATCTATCACGGGAGATTAAATATCCATAGGTAGTCTCCGCAGAGGTTATGGCACAATCAGAGCCCACTGTGTCATTGACAGGTGTACAAAGAATCAGGAGAAGACCCTTGTAGCCTTGTCAGGGTATAGCACTGACTCTGTCAGTCACCCAGAGATACAAGAAGGACCCACCAGAAGACTTGTGATGAAACTTGAAGCCTTCAAGCTGAGGGTAAGTGATGCTATCAAACACCTTCAGCTCTGACCTTCCACAGGTTGTCAGCCACACCACCAGCCCAAGGAGCTCCTCCAGGTGCGGGTCCACTTCGCTCTGGGTCAGCCCATCATATCTGTGGAGACGGATGAGGACAGATGAGATCCCTGTACTTCTTGGACAAAGCAGCCACATTGTTGCATGGTGCTCTCACAAGGATGCAGAGGCAATGCAGATCTGTGATGCTGTGAAGACCTCAAAGATCTCCACTCAGAGGTAGTTCAGCACCAAAAGACAAGGGGAGTATCCTGGGTAAATATATCACTCTGTTTGCAAATATCAGCCTTAAATCCAAAGAAGTCCATCAGGAGAGGTGAAAAGCTGCAGCTCCTACTCACAGGAAGGTCGCTTTCCATGGTTGGACTTCCAAAAAGGCATGTTCTTAGGGCACTAGCAGAGCAGGGCCACCTCCAAAATGAGAGATGTAGCTTTTCAAAAGAGCAACAAAACAGTGTGGCAAATAGATTGGATTAAGCCTCCTTGTGTTTATTTTTAAGGATGAGCTTGGTTTTCATATTTTAATTATGGGCTCTATCATTTCCAGAGTAAAAGTGCTTGTGGTATGACTTCAGTGAAGGCAGGAAGGAAAGCCAATGAGCCAAGAGGGATCTTCTGGACACTCTCCAGAACAAGCTCCAGTACTTCTCTCACCTTCCACAATAAGTCTGTGAAAAGCCAACCACTCATTGAACCAAAGAATTGTTCCAGAAATGCTATGACACAGACCTTCGTGGTGGCAATAGTCAGTTAGTCATGGTCCAAGATTAATGTAAAATCTGTAAATTCTGGGATGCCCAGGGGGCATTTATGCTCAGCATCCCTTTGGAGGAAGGCCCTCTGGGTATTGTCATTTAATCACTCTGTGGACAGAGGGACTTCAGCCTCCTAGTCCAAGTCATCACCTCTAGAATTGAAGACTGGCTCTGAGGTAAAGTCTGTGAAGCACAGCAGTAAGCTGTACCAAGCAGAGGAGAAGGACATCACACACTTGCCAAGCAAGGCCCAAGGGAGCAAGATATATGGCCAAGATCAGTGAAAGCATTTGGGCCATCAAGAAATTCATTTGATTTCTGTTCCTTGCTTTCTCTAATCCCTGGACCCAATCTGAAGATGATATGGCAAGTTAGAGTGGAAGAAATTGGCCCAGGGTCAGCTGAACGGAGTCTTTCTTTGGGTTTCTCATGGCTCAAGGATTTCAGAGAGAAGTAATTTCTTGGGAGTTGATCCCAGAAAATACTAGTGAAAGGCCATGTGAGAAAGGGAAGGAAAGGAGGTCAATATGAGAGCATTCTCAAGATAGCACCTTATGGGACAACTGGAGTGAACTTTCTAGGGACTTTGGAAGCAATGTAGAGCAAGCCACACAAGAAGCAACTATGCTGAGAATGTACCCATCGGCTCCTTTCAGTCACTGGTCAAGAGCTGCTCCAGGGGGCTGTTGATTCCCAGACCCTTCTAGCCCTCCACACACCATGCAGGGCAGTTAACAGCAGTGCCAGAAGCCCTCCAAAACAAACAGAGGGTTGTGACTGGATTCTGACTGGTGAACATCAAGCCAGCAAGCATGCAGTAGATATGTGTACCCAGTGGACTAGGTGAAGCTATTATCCCTATCATCCATCAATTCTCTAAGGAAGTGACCCCATACCCATCTGCACGTTGAATTCCTTGTGTAATCAAAGGTCTCTGACCACACTCCATAGACCTTTGTATTTCAAAAGACAAAGTCTCAATATCTGTCTTCCTCCAACCACCCCAAATGAAGTTGAGCATCAAGACTTTGGTGGTCCTATGTTCTCCCCCAACAAAGCACAGCCACTTACCGAAGTAACACTTTGAGCAGCAAAGGGTAACCCTCCGCATTCTCAAAATCCAGGAAGAGAGCCGAGGAGATCGTGTAGGAGTCCTTCACGAAGCCCAGGATGAGGCTCACAGCCTCGCTCACCTCAGGGGCAGGGAGAGTGTCTGCGAGCCTGGAGAGGTTCTGGAGGGAAAGCCTGACACAGTCCATGGCTGTAGGAGGAAAGCACAGCTCCACTGAGCTCAGAAGTGAGAGCTTTACTGCCATGGACAGTCCCCTACCCCCACTGGAAACAGAATGTCAAGATGCAAATGAGAATTAATTCAAAACATGTTATGCTGGCTCTTGGCTCTAGAAGGCTGCTCTGAGGGAAGTGTCACACTGAGAAAGCATGCTGTAGACCCAGCAGGCGACAAAGGAGAGGAAAGCTGCCTCTCGACCCTCTAGTTCTCAGCATGCAGGAGAGTCCAGGTCCATTAGGCAATGAGATGCAAGACACAAGCCCCAAGCTCACCAATAACCTTAAGAAACCAATGTCGGCATTCAGCAGAAACTAGCTTAATGAAAAGTACAGGGAAAGGGCTGGGCACAATGGCTCATGTCTGTAATTCCACCACTTTGGGTGGCAGAGGCTAAAGGATTGCTTAAGCCCAGGAATTTGAACAAGCCTGGGAAATATAGTGATACCGTGTCTCTACAAAAAAAGCCAAAAATAATTTAATCAGGTGTGGTGGTGCACGCCTATTGTCCCAGCTACTCAAGAGGCTAAGGCAGAAGGATCACCTGAACCCAGGAGGTTGAGGTTGCGGTGAGCCATGATCGTGCCATCGCACTCCAACCTGGATGACAGAATAAGATCCCAAATGGAAGGAAGGAGGAGTGGGGGAGGAGGAAGGAAGGAGGGAAGGAAGGAACAGAGAAGGATGTATAAATGTGAGAGGAGATGGTGAAAAGATGCTGTGTTTTGGATGCTGAAGAAGCCAGGAGATTGGAGAATGGAAATGTGGTCACAGTGAGGGGAGGAAGGCGGCACCTACTTCTGTGGGGCCTAGCCATGGGACTTGCTGGTTATGCCAGAGTGCTGGGGAGCCAGAGAAAGGCTTGAGTCCGAAAAGAGAAGCCTTTAGATTTGCATTTGGATAGATCACTATTTTAGGGATCTCTCCCTGAGAGAAGACTCTTCTGAGTGCTCGAAAGACAAACCAGTAGATCAGGAAAAGTGTCTACAAGAACTTGAAATAGCACAAGCTTAGCCTCTCAGCTGTGAGGACTCGGAAGAGCCACAAAGAATCACAACAATCCAATAAGATTAGCAGTATTGTTATTCCCATTTCACAGATGAGAGAACTGAGGCACCCACTCAGGTGTTTAAGTGCTGAGGTCACTCAACTAGGAAGGCAGACCTGTAGTCCACACCTTGTCTCATTCTACAGCCTATGGCCTTAGCCCCTACTCATGTTTCCCAGGATAGGATCAAAGGTGCTAGAATCAGGCACCTTTGAATTTGAAATGTTATCTTCTTCTTCACTAGCTGGGTTGCTTTGGCAAGTTCTTCTACCACTCAATCTCCATTTTTCCCATTGCAAAATGGCATTAATATCTACCTCAAAGAAGCAAATGAGATCATGTACAAATGGGCCCAGTACAGTGTCTATTTGGTAATGCATGCACAGTAAATGAGTTTTCCTTCCTTCCTCCAAGAAGTATCACAATGAGCAATGAAACACTTTCATGAATGGAGCCAAGCAACGTAGGGTTATCTACTGTGGAATGACCACTCATTCATCTCTTCTTTGGCCTCAGAAATCTATACTGATGCTGCAAAAGCATTCAACAGTCTTGCTACAGAAAGTGGGCCCTCAGCTTTTGCTGTGAGAGTTTAAAGAATTCTCTTGGGTGGCCTCCAGCCTACACCTGGTCTCCTGGGACATACCCTGCAGGTATTGGATGACGCTGAGGTTCTGGGCCTTGGAGATCACCCTCAGCACACAGAAGGTGGGCTCTTTCCAGAAGCTGCAGCTGTGCTCTCGAAGACAGGTCGTGGCAATCAGTAGAGACTGGAGCTCACTTCCTGAGAGGAGTCCCTCCAGACCTTGAGGCTCGCTGCAAATGTTGAGCAACATCTGAAAAAGTAAAGAAAAGCAGCCGAAGATCTATTTAGGAAGCCTCCTTCCTATGATGGGCTTGTTCCCTACTTCTCTGGAGCACTGATGGGCATGTGTTAGTAGGGAAGAACAGGACTGTGTGTGGTCACTTTCTGCCCCAGACAAGCAGGGTCAACAAAGGCAGCTAGGAAAGTGGCAGTTTGGGGCTCGAGTTTGACCACATCATCCCTATTTAAGCAGTTGTTATCCTTTCCAAGTCAGAATAACAAAGGAATGATTGACTTCAGTGTCTTTTTATAAATAAATACAGAAGAAAATGTTACCCACAGAGTTAATAGGACCATATGCTATTTTTTAGAGTTTCTGACTGACACTCAGTCCCTACTTCTACATAAGATCACAAGAGTTATCCTAAAACCTCCTAACTGGGCTCCTTGACCTATCAATTCTGTCTTCTGATAGCTAGTAAAGAAACTTCCAATTTCTTCCTCTCCATTTGAGATGAAATTCAAACACCCTAGAACAGCTCACTGCATCCTGTGTGAATTAGTCCTGCCTCCTCTCTCACTTTATCAGGTGCAGGTCACCCTCGGGCTCTCAGTGGTCCAACAGAACCCTCTGTCAGTTCAGCAAGTATCAAAAGCTCTTTACATCAAAATAAAGGCATTAGTCCCTCCTTCCCTGTGGATGGGCAAACCTGGGTGCCATGCACCTGGGCTGCAGATCCCATTTCCCTATATCTTTTGCACGTGGATGTGGCCATGTAACCAAGGTCTCACCTTGTTCTCACCTGTCCCTGAGCAGGTGTCACTTGATCCTCTCCCCTTCCCTCATCTGTCACCTGTTCCTTCCCACTTCCCTCAATCCCTACCAGGCCAGGTTACTTCCTCTTATTCTGCCAGCCTTCAGCTCTCTGGTTACATGCCATTTTTCAGAACAATCTCCACTGATTCTCTAATATAAGTCAGGGCCCCTCATCCTCATTCCAGCACACCTTTCACTGTCCCTTCATAACACTTAAAAATTGTTAACTATGCACTCATTCCTGGGTTGATTTCCCCTGTTTGGCTCCTCCATCTTTCTGTCACCTCTAAAAGTGAGAAGTGAGACTCTTAGGCTTGCTGCAGTACTCATCAGTCTAGCATAGAGCTGTACACAGCAGAAGCCTAGCATATTTTTGTGGAATGAAGTAACAAAAACCCTTGAGGAACACAAACATAGTCTATTCCCTATGGTTACATTCTGTTCATACATCCAGAGGACTTCAAAGATAGGAGTTGCGTTAGTTCCTTGCAGGGCACGTAAAAGCCACACAGGAAAGATTTGCTAAAGTATCTAGTGTACAGTCTGGTCCTCACTTAGATATGATTTATATAAAGGCAAATGACACCTACATTTCAACAAATGCAGCTTGGGGGTAGCCTGCCATCAATGGAATTGGCCAGAACTCATGCAATACCCTCTGGTGATGATGATTTGGCTTAAGAATTATTCTAACATGGATGTTAACGTGAACACATATGTAAAATGGAAAAACACATCTGTAAATTCACCAAATGGTCACAAGTACCTGCTATGTGTGAAATGCTGTCTGAGACACTGGACACACAGATATCCGTTAGACAGTCCTCCTTGCCCTCCCCCAGCAAGGTCAGAGAAGCCGGAAGAATTTCTGGAGAATTCAGCTTCTCAAAAGCTGAGAAAGCAGAAACTGTCCAGAAGGGGGGAGGGGAAGGAAGTGAAAAGTTAGTCAGTCAGGGAGGACAGGAAAGATGGGAAATGACAAGAGGAAATTGCATTTGGTGCTTAGAGGTCTGAGGTGTCTTCTGAGAGGAGGAAAAGAGGTAGCATCACAGAACAGTTAAAAGTGAGACTGTGAGTGAACTCCCACCCACCCCAGGATGCCACACCTAGCCCCACCCATGACTACTGTGACCCCAGATGCCATGCTTATTCACCATACCTCAGTTTGTATGGATTTAGGATGACAATACTACTCATACCCTGGGATGGCAAAGAGAGCTCATGGAGGTGACCCATGTGAGGCCCATGGTACAAGCGTGGTGCAAACGCTTCAGAAGTGTTGGCTACTGTTTTGCTTGTTGGGCAAAGTATCAGAGGAGAAAGGGCCAGAGAGGAGAGGCTCCAGATGCCAGGGGGGTGGGCAGGACCAGAGAAGAGGAAAAGTCAAGTGAAGTGGGGAACCCACCTTTTGGGGAGAGATCAGGAAAGGGGACACAATGAAATAGAGAGAAAAAGAGGCAATCCATTTTCCAACCATTCAGACATTACAGGGGTGGGGTAAGGGGTGAACTGGCCCCTCTGGGAAACCAAAGAAGCTTGGGAACTAGGCTGAGAAAGACAAAAGCATCTCCAGGAATCATCCAAGAGTCTGTCCCCCCACCCCTCAAAAGCACAGTTGGCCCTGGAAGGTCAAGCTTCTCCTCCCACTTACCTGCACAAACATCCTCTGAACTTGAACATCATTCTCAAAAAGCTCATCCTTTTCCAGAGGGAAGACAAAGAAGAGGTAAAGGCACTGTAGGAGCAGGACTGGAAGCCCAGACTCAGCAACTCTGCTCAGTGTCTCCTGCATGGGAAGAGCACATGTGACCCCTGGCACCCAGGCAGCACACCAGCAGAGATAGCTCAGGCCCAGACCATCATTGGGCCTCTGTGACCATATTGGTGTAGCCTGAAAAAGTCACTTCCTCTCTATAGGCTTTAGTCCACAAGTGTGAAACGCAGACAATCAGAGGACACACCAAGGATGGCTTGAAGATGAAGTTTATATAAAGTGCCTACTAAGTGCTTGATAAAGTTAATTCTTTTATAAGCTATATGGATAATCTCATAAAAAGATGGAAAGAAGGAAGAAAAGAGAGAGGAGGGAGGAAGGGACCGTGAAAATTAGAAACAAGGGCTCCTTAGCAAATCACGCTGCTATCTGTCATTAGTGGCCTTCTGATTTAAAAGGAAAAGTAGTTGAGAGGGGAGGTTGATAATAAGGATGTAAGCAACAGGAGTGAAGACTTAATCAGGCCCTTCCCACCCTCTCATCCAGATCCCAGACACACCTCATCAAGACCCAGACAGCCCAGTAGGTGATGACAGCCAGCCACACCTCAACTAAACAGCCCAGGGCTGCCAGACAAAGTCTGAGTGGACAGGAGTCTGCAGAGACAGAGGCCAGCCTGCACATGGAGCTCCCCATGACTTTTCTTTCACAGGCTGTGCCTGCAGCCCCACTGGGATTACAACCTATAAGTGTGCTTGTGCATGTGCAAACATACGTGAGCACCGGGGGAAGGGGGTGGGGAGGCGAATCAATTTATTAATGTTTTCATGACTTCCCACCCCATTGGCTAACCTTATAGACATGGTGGGCAAGTTAGAGAAATATAAAGAAAGAATGCAATCTGAGCCAGAATCAGCAGCCTGCTGGTCCTAGCCTTCCCCCTAAAAATTTCCAGTACATGGTAATGTCCTCCCCTTTGTTTAACACCTGGTTAACCTTGACCCCCTCTGGTGGCTCTCCCTGTCCTTCCCCACTGCACAGGGACAGAAACAAGTCCTTAGGTAAATGTGTCTGAAGTGAGACTCCACCTCAAAAAAATAAAAAATAAATAAATGAAGAATGCACGGCTCAGCCTGTAATCCCGCGCTTTGAGAGGCTGCGATGAGTGGATTGCCTGAGCCCGCGGGTGCGAGACCTGCCCAGGCAACTTGGTGAGACCTCATCTCTACAATAAATCGAAAATTAGCTGTGCATGGTAGCACGTGCCTGTAGTTCCAGCTATTTGGAAGGCTGAGGCGGAAAGATCACGGGAGTCCAGCAGGTCGAGGCTGCGGTGGCCGGGAGTGTGCCACCACACTCCAGTCTGGGCGACAGAGTGAGACTCCAACTCAAATTAAAAAAAAAATGTGTCACTAATCAGACTGCAGAGTTCTTCACTGAAACAAAAGAGCCCTTGTTCTGAGCTTCAGACTACTGTGCCTGAAGGTGGCCCAGGCAGTTTAAGCCGAAGAAAAGTCAGGTGGATCTCACTCCAGCTAACTTCCCACGTCAGCCTCCAATCCCTAGCCCCAGACAGTGACTGCAGGCTGTGCTCCTATCACACCTCCATGCACAGATCCAAATGCCCATCTAGTGTCCATGTTCACCTAGTGAAGCAGCTTTGGAACTGGGGAACAGGTAGAGATTGGAAGAATTTTGAGAAGTTACACGAGAGCAGCAGTCACTCCATCTGGTTCCTTGCTGTGTTCCTGGCATGCACTGGCACTCCTGCTAAACCCATGAGTCTCTGGGTCTGCCCTGTACACGGCCTCTGGCCACTTCTGCTGATGGTCACAGCTGCCAGGGGCCACTTCCACCTTAGAGGACACCAGTCATCAGCAAACCACTCAGGGAAGAAACCTCAGGCTCCCAGCTTCAGAGTGGAAGGACATGACCACAACCAGGATGAGGCATAGATGGGAAGGGAGGAAAGTAGAGTCAGCCTTATTTGAGCATCATTTCTGTTCAGGTGCAAGACAGGTGCTACCTACAGGTGCACAACATTCTGACTGACTTTAATAGGATGCAATACGGAACAATGGCTCAGAGCATGGGTTCTGGAGTCAGACAGACTGTCATTGCACAGCATAGGTCAGCCTGTTTTCTCATCACTAACATAGCATCACCATAAGCCTACTCTATTCATAGGGTCTTTAGGAGTATCAATTGACACAATGCCTAAGACACACCTAGCCTTGTCCCCCAAGTAAGAAGTAGTCAATAAGTATTAGCACTTATTATCCCACACTAATCCTAGAAGAGAAGTGTTATTATTCCCAATCTTCAAATTAGAAATACAACCAAAGGCAGAAAGACAAAGCCATTTGCCCACAATTATACACAGCTTGTCAACTGGAAAGGCAGGATTCAAGTCTGAATCTCAGACTCTGACGTCTATGTTCTATACCAGAAGGGGAGGAGAAACAATAAGTCAGTTTCATGAAAAAAAAACAAACAAACATCCTCTTGGGACATGCTACCACCCTGGACCTCCCCCTCCACATGAATGAGGCGTGACCAGAGCAGGGGCCGATGGGCCTGGGACTCACCGAGTCTGTACCTGTGAGCACATACACCGACTTCAGGAGCAGGTAGCCACCCTGGTCCACATCTCCCCTCCACCGCAGCAACTTCCCCACTGCCACCCGTGCTTGCTCTGGAAGAAAGTGTCATTAACAGGGCATTCAGTGACCTGCCCACTAGCCTCTCTCCAACAGGGCATCCTATCCCCAGACACGACTGAGCATCTGTAGAGGACTTTGGTCTCCTGCCTACATATCCCCAAAGTCACCTGAATCTGTGGCAAGCATCCCACACTCAGTCAGACTAATCTCCTTAGAGAACAACTTTTATCATGCAACCATTTCTGTTTAACAACTATCAATGACTCCCTACTATCAATGAGTAAAAACAAGCCCCTCGGCTACCCACAATCCAGAATCTTCCCCCACCTCCTATGTCACACAGCCCCTTCTCTTGCAGGAATCCCTGCAGTCTACACCGTGCTTGAGCTGTTCCTTCCCCCTTGAAGTCCCTCCTGTCCCACAACCCTCAGGCCCCATGAAATTCTGCCCAGCCTCCAGGGACCAGCTGAAATTAGTAGATGAATGCAAGTCAAGAGATTCAGCAAAAATTACATACTTTGGCCTCTTTATCTTTTCAGGACCAAACTCTCCACTGACCACACAAGTCACCTCTGATCCTAACACTTATTTACCCAGATACCCTGGTCTTGTGTGTGTGTCTGTTTCTGTGTGTGCCTGTTTGTCTCTTTTTGTACTGTCTCTTTGTGTATTATGTATCTATGTGTCTGCGTGTGTAGAGTGTATGTCTATTTGTAGTATCTGTGAGCAGTGTCTGTAAATGTATCTGTGTGTAGTGTGTGTATCTCTGTGTTTCTTTGTGGGATTGTGTGTGTCTGTGTGTAAGGTATTAGTGTGTGTCTGTGTGTAGCATTTGTGTATAGTGTCTCTCTGTGTAGTATATTGTGTACAGTGTGTGCAATGTACCTGTGTGTGCTGTGTGTGTCTATGTTCGTGTTCCAGAAGCAGCAAAGCTCCCTGAGCCTCCTTCCCACCCGCCCCCGCCGCCGCCTTTCTCTGCATCCCCAAGGCACTCCATAGCAAAGAGAGTCCTCCTGCTCTTTGGCAAGCAACACTTCATTAAAAAAGCAGATAGGCAGAGGCCAGAAAGGGGTCTGCAGAGCTGTGTTGCTCTTCATAAAGTATTATTCAGCACCTCTATTCTCTCACCTGCAGGCTTCCCCACAAGGGCCTTCTGCAGTTCTTGGACAAGCTGTTCGGAAACCTCTTCTGCCAGTCTTTGGAGACTAGGAAAACAGATGATCCCAACAGAGTGCTCCCAGGCCTGAAATACAACAAACAGGATCCGCTCAGAGATGTCAACATTACAAGCAAGGCATGAGCATCACCATGCCTTCCTTCTTACCAACTCAAACCCATGACTCAGCTTCTGTCCCCAGGTGCATCCCAAAGGCCATCAACTTGTCCACCCTCACAGCTTCAGCCATCATCGCTACACCAATGCCTCTAAATTACATAACTGCCTACTGTGCTCCAGACCCACATATGGAATTGCCTTAGACGTCCCCTCCATGAACACATGCTCCTGAGACATCAAACACACAGAGCCCAACCCACCACCTTCCCCCATGGCCTGCTACATCTGGTGTCAGTGGATGGTCCTGCCCAGTGTCCATTCATGTGGCATCATGAGGGCACCAAGAGTGACTCCCCAGGTCTCCTTCTCCCTCAATCCCCAACAAATTGCTATGCTTCACAAATTCTCCTCATAGACAATTTTCAAATCTTGTGCAGATATCTTAGTTTCAGTCATTCAATTATTTTCTTTAGATAACTTCTAAAAAGTGGAATTGCCATTCTTACTGGAGTTAGATGGTATCTGAATATGATTTTGATTTGCACATCTCTTGTGATCAGTGAGGCCTAGCATTTCTGTTGGCTGTTCATATGTCTTCTTTTGAGAAATGTCTATTCATGTCTTTTGCCTACTTTTTAATAGCTCACGTTTTCCTTTTGGCACGTTTGAGTTCCTTGTAGATCCTGGATGTTAGGTCTTTGTCAGATATACAGTTAGCAAATATCATTTCCCATTCTATGGGTTGTCTCCCTGCTTTCTTGATGGTTTCTCTTGCTTCACAAAAGGTTTTCAGTTTGATAAGACCCCAATTGTCTATCTTATCTTTTATGGCATATGCTTTTGGGGTTATGATCAAGAATTGCCTATTCCAATGTGCAAAAGGGTATCTCCTGCATTTTCTTCTAAGATTCTTATAGTTTGAGATATTATATGTGAAGATGCAGAGAAAAGGGAATGTTTCTACGCTATTGGCGGGAGTGTGAACTAGTTCAACCTCTATGGAAAACAGTTTTCAGTCACTAGTTTTAAAAGAACTAGAAATTGACCTTTCATATGACCCAGCAATTCTTCTGGGAATATACCCAGAGGGAATCAAATCATTCTACACAAAAAATACCTGTACACGCATGTTTATTGCAACACTGTTTACAATAGTAAAATCATGGAACCAACCCTACTTTCCATCTAAAGTGGACTGGATTTTTAAAATGTGGTACATATACACAATGGAGTATTACGCAGTCATAAAGAAGGACAAAATTATGGACTTCACAGCAATTTGGTTGGATTTAGAGTCTATCATACTCAGTGACCACAGAAACAAAGAACTGAATACCACATGTTCTTACTCATAAGTGGGTCCTGAACATTTATTCCAATACTACAAGAGAGGGTTGACTGTAGCAGGAGTCTGCCAGAGTTGGGGGGAGGCAGATATAGCATCACTAAAGGTACCTGATCCTAAGCCAGGGGAAGTGAGGACCAGCGGGAGGCCCAAGCTTCACCTGCACATAGACAATTTATGACCTCATCCTGACTTGTACCCCACATCTCTACAATAAAATAAAGAAACGAAAAGAGGGATTGCAAGTTAAAGAGTGTGCTTTTATTTTGCAATGCTTTGGTGCATTCTACTAACTCGTTTCTCCAGGTAAAGTTGAACAGACTAGACCTCACAGGCTCCATGTGAGTGAGATGGCTTCTCTACACCCACATCAACAATGAGCACTTCTATGCTTTCATCCTTAGTGAAAACCTCACAAGAGAAAAAAATATCTCGGTCACAGCCTTTTGATTATTAGATTAGATAACTGTTACTCTATTACTCTATTAGTGTTTTCACTATTTTATTATTTATTTTTAAAAGTTCTTTGTATATTAAAAAGACATTAATTTTGGTCCACTATATAACTGCAATTATTTCAAGTTTGTCATTTTTTTTTAATTTGGTATTGTTTGGTTTTGCCATACAGAAATCTGAAATTTGTATGCAATCAAATTTCTCAATCTATTCCTTCGCTTTCTGGCTTTAGTTTCAGGCTTAAAAAAGTCTTCCTCAATCCGTTATTGTCTTTAATCTTCTGTTTTTCATTTTCCTTAAAATTCTTTCTTATCTGTACCTTCTCTATTTCTATCCTACCTTGTCATCTTTTTCCTCAGACTTTTACACCTTAACAGAATACTATTTAATAAAAGTCAAGAGTTTTAAAATTCTGTTTGGAATGCCGAACTTTTCAGAACGTCTTCCCAGTTTCTGTAGCAATCCTATTCATAGGTCTGCTTTTCATCAGAGTCTTGGGCAGATGTCCTTTTTTCTTTGTTCTACCATGTTGTCACAGGCCGAGTTTACCAGTCCAGGGATGCGGACAACTCTCCAGACCAGTTATCAGAGTGGAGAGACTGCCCTTAGCTCTCCATTGCTAAGGGAAATTCACCATTCCCAGTTCCCACCAGGAAGATAGATTGCTGTGCACATTCCTGACATCTGGTAGCCTCCATGAAATGAAGTTTTGCTGGGCTGCCATCCACTCACCCTCACTCACCATCAGTATTAATTAAATTCTTGCCTAAAGACCTGATTGGTTTTTTTTTAAAGCTGAGCTCATCCATCTAGAAAAGATAAGAAGGACATCAAAATCCTAAAGGAAAAATTTTTTTTAAAAAAATATCTTAAAGAGGTTTATTCTGAGCTAGTAAGAGTGACCACAGCCCGAGGAAACCAATCTCAAGGAGTACTGAGAAAGTGCACCCTAGGCAGTTGGATTGCAGTTTGGTTTTATATATGTTATGGAGGTGGAGTTGCAGGCAAAGGCATAAATCATTACACGGAAGATATGCATTGGTTTGACCCCAAAACGCAGGATATCTTGAAGTAAGGGCTTATAGGTTATAAGTGGATTCAGAGATTTTTTTTTTTTTTTTGCAATTAGTTAAAGGAGAAAGGTTATGTTTAAACTTGGAGTCAGCAGAAAGGAATGATTCAAAGTTAAGATAAGCATGCCATGTAGCAAGACTGATGACCTGCAGGCATGACTTCACTCTTGTGTGGCATGGCCTTAGGTCTTGTCTATACTTTGGTATCTTACTGTCACAAAGAGTATTGCCACAAATAGTCTGTTCCTATCAGTCTTATGATCTCAGTTTTACATTAATGCTGGCCAGTTTTTGTGCCTAAGCTACAAAAGGAAGGGGGTTATACCCCCTTCCTGTTACAGTCAGGAACTCAATTTTCTAAGGTTTTTCTGACTAGCTTGTAGGGCAGCTGGGCCACGACAGATTCAGGAGTCTTGACTATTTTTACTCACAATACATCAACATCAGATGTGTGGGCTTTTCCTCCACTCGACGGCCAGTTCTCTGATTCTCCAGACACCAACTAGATGTCTGGAAACATTTTTAATGTGTTTCTTGCCATGACACTAAGTTGGCTTAAAAAATATCAACCTTTAAAAATCTTCTCTTTATTAAAAGACCCTATAAACAAAGTGAAGAGGCAAACCACAGACTAGGAGAAAATATTTCCAATGCATATAACTGACAAATAATTTGTATCCAGACCCCTATTAATTAATGAGAAAAAGACAAACAACCCAATTTTTAAAAAATGGACAAAACTGACAAGCATGGAAAGCAGAATTACCCAAGCAGAAGAAAGAATCTCAGAGCTTGAAGACCAAAATATAGAACTAACCCAAACTCTTAAAAACACAGAAAACAAGCTCAAAAAGACAGAACAAAACCTTCAAGAGATGGGTGATTACTTCAAGAGACCAAACCTAAGAGTAATTGGCATACCTGAGGCAGAAAGAGAGACAGAGACCACACTAGAACAAACTTTCCATGAGATCATTCAAGAAAACTTCCCTTATCTAATCAAAGATGCAAAAATTCAAACACAAGAGATTCAGAGAACCCCTGCAAGACAACAAATGAGAAGACCAACTCCTTGACACATAATAATTCGCCTAACCAAAGTAGGTATAAAAGAAAAGATCCTAAAGGCAGCAAGAGAAAAAGGCCAGGTCAGCTACCATGGAAGATCAATCAGAATAGCAGCAGATTTATCTACAGAAACCCTACAGGCTAGGAGAGCTTGGAGCCCTGTCTTCAAAGTCCTAAAAGATAAACAATTTCAACCAAGAATAACTTACCCGGCCAAGCTAAGCTTCATCAGCGAGGGAGAATTAAAATCTTTCCCAGATATCCAATCCCTAAGAACTTATGCTGCCACCAAACCACCTCTACATGAAACACTTAAGAAAGTACTAAACACAGAAAAAAAGGAAAAAAGAACAATGTTCTTCAAAAGAGTACAGGGAAAAGAATAAAATATGCAAGAACCAACCCCAAACCAAAAGAAAGACAAAAAAGAACCAAGTGGAAGAACAACAATACTATAAGAATTCTATGAAAGGGATAAACTCTCACATTTCAATAATTAGCCTGAATGTAAATGGACTAAACGCACCAATGAAAAGACACAGAATGGCAAAATGGATAAAATATCAGCAGGCAACAATATACTGCCTTCAAGAGACTCACCTCACTAGAAAGGACAAATACAGACTCAAAGTAAGAGGATGGGAAACAAACTTTCAGGTGAATGGAACACAAAAGAAAGGAGGAGTTGTGATCCTAATTTCAGACAAAATACCATTTAAGCTATCAAAAATTTAAAAAGATACAGAGGGTTACTACATAATGATAAAAGGTTCACTCCATCAACAGGAAATATCTATCTTAAACATATATGCACCCAACATAGGTGTGCCAATTTTCATAAAGTAACTTCTAGGAAAACTAAAGAAGGATATTGACCTTAACACCATCATAACTGGGGACTTTAATACCCCACTCACAACCCTAGACAGAACATCAGGACAAAAACTCAACAAGGAGATCCGGAACCTCAATGTGACTCTGGATCAAATGGACTTAATTGATACCTACAGAACACTCCATCCAAAGACCAGGGAATACACATTCTACTCATCACTGCATGGAACATATTCTAAGATCGACCACATAATTGGACATAAATCAAGCATAAGCAAATTTAAAAGGACTGAAATTCTACCATGCACTTTCTCGGACCACAGTGGAATAAAAATAAACATTGACACCAACAAA